TTATTGTAAAAAATGTAGTGTACACACATAAAGTCATACTAACAAAGAAACTAATATAGTGAACAATTAAAATTTGTAAAACAAAGTAAACTCAACTCTATCAACTTTGCCTTATCATTTAAATTCTTGACTCTGAATATATATCTAAAATTTAATAATTGGAGAGAACCTTAAACTAAACAAGAAATTATAGCGACATTCTCTTTAAGTTACAGGTTGCCAAAGTCAAGTGACATGACTTTGACTTTAGTAGCCTGAAACTTATGACCAATTGGGTTTTATTGATGTTTACCAAGTTTACAATCTATTGGATGCCTTGTTATCTCCAATGAAATTAATTAATATTTACACCTGAATAGACATTTTAATGAACAATAAAACTGTTATATAAAACACGAATAATTACAATACAATAGTAAATACAGAGATAGATTATATAAAGTCATCAATTTCCATACATACTGATATTTAGCATAATACATTTTAACACTCTGTCTCTAATCTTCACAATCATGAGTCTGGCCTCACGTCACAAATTTGAAGTCATAGTTTTAATGCTGCAAGCTAAAAGAACCTATTTTAATAAATAAAATACAGGTAAAATAATCATCCAACTGTACAAGATAAGGAAAGAAATACCTACCGCCATCATATTCTAAACAGTACCGTATATTGTTGTATTGTAGAAAAATATTCTTACAAAATTGACCCAATTGTAAAATGTAATATTTTCGATGTATTAGTTAAGTTTAATGCTTATACTTGTTTAAAGGAGTCCTTATTCTGCCTTTAGCAGATCTTGTTAATTCAAAAAGTAATGAATATGTATTTGCCCATTCAAATAATGTTTGATCGTGGGCACACGTGGTTTTGATGGCTTGGTAAATTAAACTAAAAATTACTAAATTCACTTTCTGATTTACTTCTTGTAAACACACTGACAAGTATTCTATTTGAACAATATAGAATTGAATTATATTTTTTATAATTTACTGAATAACTGAAATATAATCGTAGAGTATCAACGACAATTCTAGTTACATTTACCAGAGGGAGACTTTGTACAAAACTCGTTTGCTTGCGCACCTCGCAATCACATTGGTCACATTCGTGGTTTTATCGTGAAGCAGTTGTGCTTGCATGGCAGTGTTTTGGTTTGAAAGGAGGGATAGGCAATGAATTTGCAGAGTACAGAGGAATAACATATGAATCCTAAGGAATGGCAACACATGGGGGGTATTATGGACGAAAAAGTATACTCTGTTATGTCTATGGTACTGTTCATGTCTATAAGCGACGGTTATCACTTTCCATCAGGTGGGCTTGTTTGCAATTCTAAGTTGCATAAAAAAATTAGAGCATAGATTATAAGAAACTAAGATCTTGCCCATTAGGAATAAATTATGATTTATTAAACTGAATAAATATAAAAAAGAGATGTAGACACATTGAAATATACAATATAGCGTAAACAGTACGTACGTATAAACTCTTTCAATTTACTGGCATTATTTTCTTATAAAGTACTATCGCTATTTGCGAACAATTTGTTATACCGTGCACCACTAAAAGATACATCAGCGGAACGAGCCTCTCAAATTTAAGCCAATTACAGGGCTTGTTATAGTTGATAGATGCCTTGCAATGCCTCACTCTGCTTCACTCCGTTGCTAACGTGCTCGTACTATAAACAGCCGTTTTTCAATTTCCTAGACATATGTAATATGTATGCTGTCATTTATATAATTTTCTTTGTCATCATCATCGTCACATCAGCCTTTAACTGTCCACTGCTGAACATATGCCTCTCTCTACCTTAAGGGGTTTTGCTAGTAGTTGTCAAGCTTGGTAGACAGATTGGTAACCACAGTTAGGCTTTAGAGATGTTTTAAGAGAGATGCGGCTGCCCATCCCTCGCCCTCTCGTAGTCGACTCTTACGACACTTACGGTGGCCTATTCTATGCCGGCACCACAAGGCCAATTTTTTTTGTAGAATACATTAATCTTAATTACCTTTCTTAATTTCGTATTTCTACCGTGAAGCAGTTGTGTTAGCACGGCTGTGTTTGAGTTCGAAGAGTGGCAGTTAGAAATAAGGCAGTGAATTTACAGGGTGCAGAGGAATAACACCTGAGTGCTGAGGAATGGCAACGCATGGGGGGTATCATGGGCGAAACAGTATACTCTGTTATGTCCATGGTACTGCTTATGTCTATAGGCGACGGTTACCACTTTCCATCAGGTGGGCCGTCAGCTTGTTTGCCATTCTAAGTTGTATAACAGCCAAACACAACTGCTTCACGGTAGAAACACGAATGGGATATCTGCGGTGCTGCTCTTGACTATAGGCGACGGTTACCATTTTCCATCAGGTGGGCCGTCAGCTTGTTTGCCATTCTAAGTTGTATAACAGCCAAACACAACTGCTTCACGGTAGAAACACGAATGGGATATCTGCGGTGCTGCTCTTGACTATAGGCGACGGTTACCATTTTCCATCAGGTGGGTCATCAGCTTGCTTACTATTCTAAGTTGCATATAAAACCTTTTTTTCATTAAACCATCTAGATTCTAGAAAAAATCGTGTCCTAATCCTATTTGTAGACCTCAAAAACTGTGAGTTTTTGAGGTCTACAAATTTGACGTGACAATAAATATTTTCTTATTAACTTTGTGATAATGGGAAGTACAATAAACGAATTAAATTAATCCGAATGAAGGCACTGATAATCTCGTCCCTGCCACAATATGTTCTAATATGCTTGAAACATCGACATGGATTTACATTTATTTATTCATTAGTACATACATGTGTACATGGCGGACTTAATGCTAAAAGTATTCTCTCCTAATCAACCATAGGGAAGTGTCAGAATACTCGAATGCGGTACTAGTAATGTAATGTAATGTAAATAGGACTCTATTTTCCGCGCTTAGCCTCTCATTTGGGCCGTTGTGCGTATGAGTCGTGGCTAGTACAGCCAACCTAGCTCCGCCCAGAAGCACAGAAGCTTCTTGGGTTCTTCACAGACCTCACGGAGCGACCTCACCGTTCCGAGGATTTCCAAACGTTGATGGGCCACAGCTTCACATACCAGGATTACATGAGCAGCCGTTTCTTCGGCGTCAAAACAGCCTCGACATAGAGGGTTGTCTATGGCTCCTATTGTGTATAAATGTTTGTTTAATGGACAATGGCCCGTTATTGTCCCTATCATTATTTTGAGGTTTTTCCTATCTAGATGTAATAAACGTTTTGATAGTCGTTGATTCAATGTAGGCACGGCCAATTTTGATTGTTTGCAATCAGTAGCCTGTATCCATCTTGGGTTTTGGGTACTAGTAATTACTGATATACATACTAAAATTACATATATAAACAAATAAATACGTATTTCTTAAAATATTACCGAAGCCTAATTGCGGTTGCCAACCCACTTGCCAAGCACAGCAACTAATACTAAAACCCCCTTATAGGGGAGGCCTATGTTCAGCAGTAGACACTTAACAGCTGATGTGATGATGAAGATGTGATATGAATTAATCACCTCAATTGACTGATTTTTGAATAGAATAAAAATAATCTTTATTTAAATAGATTTGTTTACATTCAGCCTTTCCCAAAGTGGGCGATAACGCCCCTTTATGGGCGCTGCAGCTCTAAAAGGAGGCGGTAAGAAACCCAGAATAAAAACGCGGCGTGTTGGCGGTTGTGTAGAGGCTTGGGGGGTGATTTTTGGATCTTGAAGCAATAGTGGTTTTTAAGTAGGTGAAAAAATGGGGACGCTAAAAAATAATTTATTCTCAAAGCAGTGGACATAATAATTTTGGGTACCCCTGGTTTACGTGCTCTTTTAAATTGTCATTTATTTATGCTTCTGCTGAGTTGGGATTATTTTTATCTGCCAAGAAGAACTCGCAAGAAACTTAACAATTACTCTTTTCAATTACTTTATGTTTAAAGATCATTTTATATTTGTAAACGTACTGTCACTATAATTAGCATTAAGTTTTATTTACATGTATTTTCTCAAGATAGGATAACTTGCGACATTAAAAAAACGAAATACCTAACTTCGGAGGTCAATAATCTATACTTATAATAAATCTGTAGAGAGGTCAATTCTGTACATGAAATATATTTCCAAAGTTACTATTAGGGCGTGATTAGTGATCGATACTGATGCCAAAAATGCAATCAGTAAAATTTTTGTCTGTCTGACTGTCTGTATGTTCGTTATAGAAACAAAAACTACTTGACAGATTTTAACGATACTTGGCATTTTTGTTATTCATATTCCTGGGCAGGTTATAGTATACTTTTTATTACGCTACGATCAATAGGAGCAGAGCAGTGAAGAGAAATGTTAAAAATGTCCACTCGTGCGACGCTGGGACGGGCCGCTAGTATGTTATCTTATTGATACAAAGCAAAATACATAACTAAAATTAAAATTTTCAGTAAATCTTCTCTTTATCACAGGTATTTTGTTTTGATATTTTTGTGCATTACTGGTTTTTATATTTTATGCACGAAAAATTATTAATTCACTCTCGCGCCACCTGCCCATTTCCATCTGTTCTCCTTTAACCAAAGGTTGTCTGTAAGATATTGCCCTATCGATAAGACCGCCTTTTGTACCTTTATGTGTATATTTCAATCTGTATTCATGTTACTGTATTTCACTTGAATTATTCACTTGCCATTGTATATTTTTATTGATGGTGCAATAAAGAGTTAAATAAATAAATAAATATTTTTTAGGAAAAAGAAATAAACCTACCGAAGTATATATACTCGGCTTACTTTCTTATATTATTTACTCCAATACATATAACATATAAAAGGTAGTGAATAGTAACTTTCAGCATATCTGTAAGCCTGACCAATCCATGATTCGTATTTCGAGTCTTTCAATACATCGCTATTAAGGTCATATGCTGTTTTGTATTCCTGCCGTCTCAACCCTTCCCTAAGCTGTTGTCTTATGAATTCCAGATGAGTCCTCCCATCCCGCGACCCCGGCCCCGCCCCGCTCCACAGGTATCAATTTAGATTCCATTCTATTCACTATTTACACCATTAGAATTAATTATTCATACATTTGCTGGGTTCTTTTGAATTTGCTGCAAATTGTTTAGCAAAATATAAGAAATTAACTTAATAATTCATTTAGTTAAAATGTTATTGAAATAACTGGAAAGGTGTAGAACGAAAAATAATATAAAATAATTTTATTTTTATAAGTTATCCAATTTTTAGATATTAGAAATATACGTTGATTTTAATGTTGAAAAAAAAATATATAAAATAGATACGAAAGTAATAAAGATTGTTTTAATAATAATTTGTAAAGATATTATAAAGTGTAGGTATATGGCTCTCATACATACGTATTTTTAGGAAAAAAGTGCATATTGAATGAAGAAATTGATACTTTAATTTATTTATTTCGTAAAACAAACATTTTTAGTGATTTTATATATATACATATATATATATATATATTTATATGTATATATATATATATATATATATATATATATATATATATATATATATATATATATATATATATATATATATATATATATGTTACCATAATTAAATTTTCAATGATTAAAAATGGATGATAAATTATTAATTATATCTAATTAACTTCGACTTTTCACTTCACCTTAAACCTTCCAAGAAATAATTAACTGATATTTTAGTCCTGTAAACTAAATATATAAAAAATATACCCTATTAATATTATAAACGTGAAAGTTTGCAACGACGGACAGATGTTTGTTACTCTTTCACACAAAAACTACTGAACGGATTTAAACGAAATTTTCTACACGGATAGGTTATATCCCAACTTAGCACATAGAATAGATAGATAGATACTCTTTATTATTTCTTCAATAGTAAACTTATTATAGATATAAACAATTACAAGAAATAATCTAAGATACTGTATATATTACCTGACGGGGGTGAAGTCACGGTATATAGTTAGTCTTTATTATAATCGTTTATTATATTTTTACGAGAATTGTTAAAAATAATGAATTCTTGACGTATTTAAATGATTCTTTAGTTATTTAGATAATTAATATTTACAAATTCCATCTAAATGATCTGCAGCGAATTCAAATTAAGCTAAGGCATGACACTGCATAGTCATCATTCATTTATGCTTTTAGCATTCTCGTTTATTGAAGTAATCTTCAGAATTAAAGTGCTCGTATTATCTTTTGCAAAATACAAAGAAAACAGACTTATATTAAGTACACGTTATTTCATTATATACTGTCGGCAGTTTTTCTTTGAATTTCATTTATTTATAGGAACGTCAACGGGATATTTATTAAGTAAAAATATGTATTTACGTCACGATAATGTACATTTATAATAATTATAGTTTGCTTCGTAAAGCATGCTGTTTAGTTGAATAAGTTACGAGATAATTAAAACTTACAGCTATCACAAATTGGCTTGGCTTTTATAGGCGTTTTTAGAGTGAGATTTCATGAAACGAGTAGAGTAGAAATGAGAAAAGTCATATCTCCTCTCCTGTGGTAGAAATAATTTCTTCTTCTCACTTACTGTCATGCATTACACTAGTTCTGATTGTCATTTGCGTGCTTTGATTGCGCGTGATGAGTTTGCGTGTCCGATTAAAGAATGTATATCGACAGAAGAAATATATAAAAGTGGTAGTGGTAGAAAGAGAGCCTATTGCGTGCTAGACGATGGACCTCTTTTTCCGTACAGTCGACACGTGTACTGCCAACCTCGCAGCTACGACCGAAGATTCGCATCTGGATAACAAAGTAAATTTTTTTAAAGTATCGGAATAAAAGATAAATAATAAAAAAAAAAACTAAATAAATTTATATCGTTATAATGAAAATACTTGCCATTATATAAATATGTGTTAGATTAAACTATTTATATGTCATTCAAAGTTATCAATGCAATTCGCTCATATCATATCAGAAGGGAAAAAATGTTAGGACACTTGATACGACACGACGAACTTATGAACATTATAATAGAAGGTAAAATAGAAGGGAGGAGGGGAAGAGGGAGACCGAGACATAGTTACATCAGGCAGATCAAGGAAGGAGTTGGTATCATGTCGTATCAAGAGGTGAAGAGACTCGCTGAAAATTGCAGTGAGTGGCAAGAGCTTCACCGACAAGAGCGCAGGGCCTCTAGACAAATGGCAAACGAATTCGTCGATGGAAACGACATCGCTAGCGAGTCCGTGAGACAGAATGAGATAGCAACGCCGGATGACTCATTCCAACTTATGGACTCGCTAGCGATGATGATTCCATCGATGAATTCGCTTGACACTTGTCTAGAGGGCCAGCTCTTAAATAGAACAGATAAATATCATATCATAATTTTTTTTACCAGAGGGAGACTTTGTGCAAAAGTCATTGCTTGGGTACCTCTGTCTCATTCGTGTTTCTACCGTGAAGCAGTTGTGTTTGCATGGCTGTGTTTAGATTTGAAGGGTGGGATATGCCGTGAATTTACAGGGTACAGAGGAATAACACCTGAAACCTCAGGAATGGCAACGCATGGGGGGTATCATGGGCGAAACAGTATACTCTGTTATGTCCATGGTACTGCTCATGTCTAGAGGTGACGGTTACTATTTTCCATCACGTGGGCCGTCAGCTTGTTTTCCATTCTAAGTCGTATAAAAAAAATATGATATTCATCATACACATGGAAATAGAAAAGTTTCAAACCAAATAAATAAACTGTGAATTCACCAATACACTTGGTATCCCAATAGCGAAGTGTAAATCCGCTCTCGATAAACAAGGAAAACAGTATTCCTTAGCAAAAAAGAAGTAAGAGAGCGTAAGTAGAGAAAGAAAGATATTTAAAGGCCACATTCTTGACGGTGACACATTTACCACTCGTCAAGATTTTCAGCGAGTCTCTTTACATAACATCCAAGATTTTCTCTTTAATCTGCATGGTATAGCCATGTCTTGATTTCCCCTTCAGTTCCTCCCATCCATGTTACCTTGTATAATAATGTTCATGAGTTCCTAGTATCGTATCAAGTGAATACGAAATTCAATTTAAGGCTTAAATTTAGTATCTTATACAATATATCTTCTAAATTAATTCCTTGCATTTATTCCATTATTTTGGGATCGCAGCAATATGTTTCCCTCTTCCGTAGATCTGTATTATTATGATATAATTTAATTTCTTTCATTGAATGCGTGACATTAATTTGTCATTCGCTTCCGACTCATTTGTGGCGAGTCGCTTCTATGAAACAATCTGCCAGTCATTTTCGTGAAACGTGAAAACAATATATTATTTTTGTGGGCACAATTTATGGACAAATTGGTTTCTACACTAGTAATTTTCTCGAAAGTTACTTTAGTTGAATTGACGTGCTATAAACATTAATAGGGGTATTTAAGTTCTCATAAAGTATGTAACTAATTAAGTATTTATAAGCTCCGTAAGTTATTTGCATATAACCCGTCGTCTGTTTTACTAAAGAGTTAATGCCTAAGAATAACAAACAAGCTCATATATTGCGAGTCAGCCAGCTAACAAGACATTATCGCTGTGGATCGGGTATCTCACTACGTATTTATAAGATAGTAAGGAAGAACACTACATAAAGCAATAAATTTAAAATAAAAATAAAATGTGTAAACCAGAGGGAGACTTCGTACAAAAGTCGATTGCTTGGGTACCTCTGTCCCATTCGTGTTTCTACCGTGAAGCAGTTGTGTTTGCATAGCTGTGTTTCGGTTTGAAGGGTGGGATATGGCGTGAATTTACTGGGTACAGAGGAATAACACCTGAGTCCTCAGGAATGGCAACGCATGGGGGGTATCATGGGTGAAACAGTATACTCTGTTATGTCCATGGTACTGCTCATGTCTATAAAAAAAATTCTTTAAGCGAATTCCATTCCATTTCAATCCCACCTGAAGTCAAATTTAACTTTCGACTTATACGTTTCAATCTTATGCAATCTACAGTAACTTCTTACATGTACGAAGGTCGAATATCGCTTAACAAAGTTAGAACTACTGAGTTTCAATTCTTGACAGTCACTATCCTCTGAATTTCATATGATTTGAGTTTCAAATGGTCTTAGTAGTGTAACACGCCGCCTGGTCTTCTTAATGGTCAGAGTTTTGATCCTTGTACTGCAAGATAGAGTAGAGGTAATCTTTAGCCAAATAAATTTGTTAACAAGTTGTTTTAAATCGACAATTTTTTTATGTTTCTACTGCTAGGTTTGAGAATATAGAAGCCATACAAATATTTTTTTTTTTGTTTTATACAACTTAGAATGGCAAACAAGCTGACGGCCCACCTGTTAAAAAGTGGTAACCGTCGCTTATAGACATGAGCAGTACCATGGACATAACAGACATAACATATACTGTTTCGCTCATGATACCCCCCCTGCGTTGCCATTCCTGAGGACTCAGGTGTTATTCCTCTGTACCCTGTAAATTCACGCCATATCCCACCCTTCAAACCGAAACACAGTCATACAAACACAACTGCTTCACGGTAGAAACACGAATGGGACAGAGGTACCCAAGCAATCGACCTTTGTATAAAGTCTCGCTCTGGGAGATTTTGCACAAAAGGCTCTTCTTACATTGGAACTACGAGTTAATGGCGTTAAATAATACATCCAAATATTATTATTATGGTAAATTTTTATTTTAAATACAATTATTCTTTGTTACAGCTGCAGCGGCTACCATAATTGGGTCACAGGATGTCTACGTGAAGAAAGGTAGTACGATATCATTGACGTGTTCAGTGAATGTCCACTCCTCGCCGCCGTCGAGCGCCTCAGTTTTATGGTAAGCTTTTTTTTTTTTATACAACTTAGAATGGCAAACAAGCTGACGGCCCACCTGATGGAAAATATTAACCGTCGCCTATAGACATGAGCAGTGCCATGGATATAACAGAGTATACTGTTTCGCCCACGATACCCCCCATGCGTTGCCATTCCTGAGGACTCAGATGTTATTCCTCTGTACCCAGTAAATTCACGCCATATTCCACCCTTCAAACCGAAACACAGCCATGCAAACACAACTGCTTCACGGTTGAAACACGAATGGGACAGAGGTACCCAAGCAATCGACTTTTGTACAGTCTCCCTCTGTTAGCCTTGTCTACTCTTAAATTTTCATTTCACTTGTTCATTACTATTAATCCAATTTAATACTGTTAACAAAGAAACTTAAACGTGTCAAAGTTGTAAAAAAAAAATTAAAAAAAATTCTGAATGGTTTGTTTCGGACTATTATGATATGTGTTATTAAAGTCGCTGGCGGAAGACCCAAAAAAAAAACCAATTTTATAAATATAACTAAATTTAATTTTCTAAATTTAGTTTTCAGATCGATATGTAATCCGTAAGTGAAGTTATATAAAATCAAACATAAAGGAAATGGGTATTTTTGCTGCGGGAATTGAAATACTGACTCGACGCAGGTGTCTTTCTCGGTAGCGCACCTTCTTGCGTCATGCAATCCGATCCGATCCGATCCGATCGCCGTTGAGGGTGTGTCGTAATACTTGATAGGTATCTACTATAACATATGTGAAAAGCAATGATTCGTGTGTACTAAATTGATTATTATTATATTAATATAGCCATGTAGGTCCTGCCAGGACAGGCCACTTCTTCCTATCCCGTAGGTGTCGTAAGATATGTACAACAATGTGGTAGCATATACTCCTTGTATGTTAAAATGGCACCACCAATACTTTGAATTCCATAAGCTTATGGAATTACTCTAGTAACCCTCTGAACCGTATCTCATTTCAATAAAAAATTGTAATAAGTCACCAAATAACATAAAAACGGAATAAACATTTATATAAATTTTACTAGAAGGATATTTTGTTCATAAGTCTTTTGCTTAAGTACCTCTGTTTTAACCGTGAAGCAATTGTATTGGCATAGCTGTGTTTTCGTTTAAAGGATCGTATATGGCAATAAAATTACAGGATCTAAAGGCAAAACACCTTATTAGCTAGTCCTCAGAAATGGTAAAGCATAAAGGGTATCATGGGCGACACAGTATTGTTATGAACAAAGCACTATTCATGACTGTAAGCGACAGTTAACACTTTCTATTAGGTGGGCCGTCGGATTGTTTACCATTCTAAACTACACAAAAAGAACAATCAATACCAATTAGCTAATTCAACTGAATTTAAGTTCCCAAATATAAAAAAGCACAACTATTAATAACTTTCCATGTTATAGGTACCATGGAAATTCCGTAGTGGATTTCGACTCGCCTCGAGGAGGCATCAGCTTGGAAACGGAGAAGACAGAAGGCGGCACCACCAGCAAACTGCTGGTCACCAAGGCCGCCCTGACTGACTCCGGCAACTACACTTGTGTACCCAATAACGCTCATCCAGCTTCCGTGTCTGTGCACGTACTCAATGGTTGGTAAATCATAAAAAAACCTATTCCTAAAACTGATTTCTTCTTTTTTTCATACAACTTATTGAAAGAATGAATGAATGATAACTTTATTTGCCCGAATACAGGTTAATACATTAGAAATATCTCTCTCTCTCTCTTATGATGTTACTCCATTTCGCACGATCTTCAGCCTCTCGCAGAGTAGCTGCAACTGATAGTCCCGCAACGGCGGTTACTTGGTCCCACCATCGACTAGGTGATCGTCCGCGTGGTCTTTCCCCCTCTATCTTGCCTACAACCATTAGACTGTCGAACTGTTGACGAGCAATATGACATTAGTAATATTTAATGTTAAAGAAAAGACTGCATTCAACTGAGTGGCGTACAAATATTTAATTTGGAACTTGGTCTTAAAACATTACATTAAAATAGTCTCCAAGTTAATAAAAACATTTCTTAACAAGCTAATTATAAATATTATAATTATATTTTTTATTTATTTTATTTATTCATTAGTACAAATATGTGTACATGGCGGACTTAATGCTAAAAGCATTCTCTCCCAGTCAACCATAGGGAAGTGTCAGAATACTCGAATGCGGTACTACTAATTATTGATATACATACATACTAAAATTACATATATAAACGAATAAATATATATAAATAACAAATATACTTACACATATATGACATATACTATATTATACACGAAATTGAGAATAATATAAAGTACTTACTGCTCGGATAAAAATAAAAAGTGTGCGTTAACGCTTTTTTTGAAAGATGGTTTAGTCGGTAGTCTCTTAATGGCATCAGGAAGCGCGTTCCAGAGTCGTGAAGAATGTAGGAGAAAAGAGTTTGAAGCGTAACCAGTACGGTGAGAGGGGAAAGATAATTGGAGAGTATTATTGGAACGAAGGTTACGTTCGTGAGTTTCAAAAAGATAATGGAATTTACTCCTTAAGTAGTTAGGAGACTGGGAGTTTCGAAGAAGAGTGTAGAGGGTACAAAGAGTTCTATTCTTAAGACAGCGCTCACATAAAATCTATAGAATAGATGTACCTCCTGTAGTGCATCGCAATATTAAACGTAGTTAATTCTAAAATCTTGTCTAGTTACCATTTATTATCACTCTCACTTCGGCTTGATTATCTGGCATGTCCTACAAATGATTCGGTCACGATTTATATGTTGCGTACAATATTATATATTTTAATGTCTAAGGCAATATGGAATTACAAGATGATTTTGTTTATCGCATTTTAAATTTTCAATATCCTTATTATCTTCAGTTAGTGACGTATTTATCTAAGATTTGTCAACTAACATCGAAAAACCAACATTGATCTTTGTCAGAATAGAACTAATATAGAAATAAATACCTTTCGATTAAAAATTTTCATAATCTGTTTAAAATTATTGAAGATGTCAGATAATGTGTCATTAATTATTTTTTCCCTGTACTGTCATCACGTAGCTTAAAGCATTCGAAGACTTAAGATAAATCTAAGAACAATCCACTTATTACGGTCCATTCAGCTGTTTATCCTACATCTTGGAGATCTAAACATACCAATTATTTGCAGACCCATAAAATACAATTGATAATCTAAAAAGTGTGCAGAATAATAGAGATTTCTTTTAACAGGCGAACATCCAGCCGCAATGCAGACAAGCAACAGAGCATCGTCCTACCTCACATCGCAGCTCAGCTGTGCAGCTGTCACGTACCTCCTATCGTCGATGGTCTGCAGATGATCAGCTTAAACAGTATTCCAACTGGACGTGGGGCGTTTATAGTTTTGATTGTTTCTTTTGTTATTTCAACGCATAAATTTATATAATAATCTTTTTTATACTTGGCATATTAAGCAATTTTTGCATTTATTGTAATAGTTCATATAATGGACAAGTAGTTATGATAAATTGTTTTTCCTATTAGCAAAAGTAGCTATATCTCTAACGTATCCCACATCCTCCCACACAGTGACATCCCATCCCTAAATTCTTTTCAAAATTCCACTCCAAAATCCTCCCAAAAATTCCCGTCTCCAAACCACTTGCCCAGCATGATGACTTATGAGCATAAACACTTCATTCAAGAAAACCAATAATGTGTGGCTCCCAATGCGAAGCAATGGATCGTATATATTAGAGTGCATAAAATTGACTGTGTATTATATATACTCGTAGGTGAAATCAAAATTATCAGCGTTGAAGAAATGTTCTACTAATAAAATCGAATATTTTTACTAAAGTAAGTTAAGTCGAAAGACGACAAAAATAAACCTTTGCCGCGTATAACTGTCGAGTTGCATGTGACACTCATAATATTTAGTCGTTTTTCGACTCACGTTCCTTGTAAAACTATTTAGTAGAATTTATAAAGGGATCTCGATTCTACTCTATGTATTATGGTACAGTCTGTATTATCTTTAATTTTTTTTTAAATATGCCTATTGTATAAAAAAGATTATACCCTTACTTACAGTTTATTTCTAATGAATTTAAGAAGAAAAAAAAATAAGACGTTTATATTATATTACAATTTATTCAAAAAACGAAATACATTTTGTAACATCTAGAAGATTAGCTTAAATACAATAAAGATACCTAACTTAAATACATTTCAGTTATTTTTTAAATAAATAATATAATGAATGTTTTTACGAAGCGGAAAATAAAATGAATAATTTTTATTTTATTCCATTTGTTCAACTTATATTACTGTTATTTTATATTGTTTTTTTTTTTTTTATTCGGAATGAAGTGCATAATTAATTGTGACATGTTGATTTCATTAATTAATTATTTTAATAGTGGTATACGATATTCATTTACGAATTTCTCCGCTCTCGATTAATGTAATATTATTTATATTTTCATAAAATATAAATAGCAATAACGTATTGAATTACCACAAATTGGTCCATGAATATTTTTTTAATATTATTTTATGCGAGTGATATTTAATACTCGAGTCCCCCAAGACCATGACGTGTTAATATTAATTCTCATAAGGTACATAATTGAAATCGTTTAGAAGTATGTTATAAAGAAAAAAAAATGCAAAATGAAAAGACGCATTACGCAATATGATTAAGAAATCTCTTGGTAAATATGTTGAAAATTTATGTGTACTTCATTTAGTTCTCTTTATAAGTTAAATTACATTTTGTAACTTTTACATTACTTCATTGCAACTTAGTTCGTTCGTGAATAACAGAGACAGCATATTAATGTATGCTAATCCCGTTCAATAACGTTTATATCTAATATTGCTACGTATCTTTTATAAAAATTAATACTTACTGTTACTTAATTGGATGTGGTGAAATTGATGTCATTAGCAATATTTAAAACTAATTTACTCACCTGTTAAGATTGATTACCCAATTAACAAATGTCTGCCATCGCTATAGGTCATAGAGCAAGGTAGTTTTTTAGTGTGGAACACATGAAATATTTGTTAGTTTTTATATTTACCAGTTGACCCGATGGACTTAATTCTGCCACTATTAGACTAAAATGTTTGTATTGGTAGCTAGAACAGTCGATATGGAAGAAAGAAAAACGGAGTTTTCACATTTTTCTGGATATATTTTTCAAATTTACTTTTTCCCGAAAACCTTCGTTGGACTTTAAATATTATTAATATATATATATATATATATATATATATATATATATATATATATATATATATATATATATATATATATATATATATATATATATATATATATATATACCTTAAGAACCTTTCCCAGGTTCTTTGATGTATACACACACATAATATACATCGAAGAATCGATGGGGAAGAAAGGTTCTTAAGTGGCGGCCGCGTACGGACAAACGCAGTGTAGAACGACCTCCCACTAGGTGGAGTGACGTCCTAAATGCATTGCAAGGAGTCGGTGGATGCAGGTGACTCAGGACCGTTCTTTATGACAGTCTATGGGGAAGGGTTATGTCCAGCAGTGGACGGATAATGGCTGTTATAAAAATAATTGGTCCAACCGTTCACAAGGTTTACATCAAGAAACACATTTAGTGATAAATTTTTACTTATACATATAATTTTTTTTTAGTATTGAATTAGACATAATATTTTCTAATTCCTTGCTTTGATCGTGATGACGGTGCAGTGGCAAAGATTGTAAAGGGAATGTTTTGGTCAATTGGCAAGAATGAATGAAAGAAGATAGGAAAGATATATATCGAGTGCGGATGAATGGAGATTTCGGTTGGGAACGTACGTTGTTTAAAAAGATGGCGCTCTGAAAAAGGGCCGAGTGAAAGTGGCCGTAACCGGAGAGCTTCTATGAATAGACTGATGGATGTGGGGGACACGAAAGAGGTCTTTTTGGATTGGAGCGTTTTGTCTTCAATTGATTCTGCCTACCCCAATGGGAAAAAGATGTGACTTATATGTATGTATGCAGTAATTGTATTAAAATTATTAGTTTTACATTTTTTTTATGTTTTTTATACAACTTATAATGGCAAACGAGCTGTCGGCCCACCTGCTGGAAAGTGGTAACCATCGCCTATAGACAAGACCAGTATTTTGAACATAACAGAGTGTACTGTGTCGCCCCTTATGAGTTGCCATTACTGAAGTCCAAGGTGGTATACCTCTGTATCCTGTAAATTCACTGCTATATCCTACCCTCTAAACTGAAACATAACCATGCGTTTTAACTGTTTCACGACAGAAAACGAATAGGACAAAGGTACTAAAGCAAACAACTTTGTATAAAGCGTCCTTCTGATAAAACTATTGCAAATAATGGCTTCAATTTTACCATGAATGTTTTATTGTTAAAAATATTTTCTTTTTTAAGAAAGATATTCCAAAACTATTTTTCTTAAAAAAGAAATATTTAGGAATATATTTTATTTATTTCAATTTCAATATCATTCGAATGTTCTCCGATGGAAATGTTCTGTAATAGACGGCAAATATTTTTAATTACACACTCTTTGTGAAAGACCTTCCTATATTTCTTAGTAATCCCCATTGCTCATTCCTTTCGTTGTGATATTTTGTTAATTAATGCTCAACGTCAAACGTATTTTATGCTATCTATTCAAATATTGTTTACTCCAAAATAATATAAGATCTAGATGTAAATTGACAATTTTGTATATAAATTAAATTAAAATAATACGTAATTGTAGTTTATAAAGTTTATATCAAGCTCGCATTTGTAAATATTTCGTATTGTTGTAAATAAGAAGACGAGTATATTGGATAAGTTTAAAACAGGTAGCGTCCACCATTAGTGTGGTGAAAAAACTGTTTTTTTTTTTGTTTTGTTCCTAGAACAATTAATCGATTCGTGAGTTGAACCTCTTTTTATGGGAAAAGTATTAATCGAAAGTTATTCGAGTTTTAATTATTTATTAAAAAACTAATGGAAATTTAATAAGATATTAATCATTAAATTCCTCTTAATTTTTATGAGTCTCTTTGCTTAAAAGTGTAGCCTCTTATTACCACATTGGCCACATAGTTAGGCATATGATTTTAATTCAAGTTTTCTTTATTTTTCCTTTGTCCTGTTTATCATTTCTACCAACATTCTGAGAATAAAATTATTGTAAACATACTATATTCATATTCTATCTCTAGACGGAAAATTTCATGCAAAATTGAATACAATTCAATGAGGTGAGAGGAAATTTCGTAAAGTAATTTCTTAGGATATACTCCGTAGAAGGCACGAGGCGAAACCGTGCAAACTTCTACACCGCATTCTAATACAAGATTCACCCGTTTGTATTGCAGTGTCAAATAAGTTTCAGCAGGTAAAATTTTCAAGCGAGTTAGCAAGGAGTTAGCAACTACGCCTCGGGTTTACCTCAAGTTTGTGTGTGTAACAGAAAGCACACTAGATCTATTCTAAGTCCAAATATAGCTAAACCTTTGTTGCTTAACAAAAAAGTAATGGTAACTTTATTATTTTCCTCAAAGAAAAATACGATTTTAAGAATATGTAAAACAATAATAAACATTACAAATAGAAGTAAGGCATAGAGGGTATTATGGGCGGCCTTATTGTTAAACAACGGTATTTTGAACTCGCCATTTCTACTATCGTATATCGCGATCTATTATAATCGTCTAATAAATTATCATCGAATAAATTTTGCAAACTTTCATATCGATTTAATCTATTAATTTGATGGGTCAATCGATTTATAAGTAATAATCGATTTTAAACAACACTAATATGAATCGTATTTCTTCCTTTAATCAAGAGGTTCAATTCATTATAATTATTAGGAAATAATGACAAATAAATGAATTATTATAAAGAAAAAAAAAAACTCTATTGACTGTTTTCTATTGAAACTGTTAAGCATAAACAGTATTATCGCATTAATATAATTTATTTTCTCTGTTAATCTAGTTGGCACTCACTAGTTTTATGTCGTGTAATTCAATCAATCCGAACGAAACCAAAATAATTTGGTACGTCGGTGCTTTATTCGAATAAAGTTAGTCAAATGAAGTTATATCGTGAGTTGGCATAGTCCGCAAGTGGATTAAATACGACCCACTACGTAAAACGAGTGTGTGATCAACTGTCCAGCTGCCTCGAACTGTTACTGAGAATTTTCACGTCTCTTGTATACTTGTAAAGTAGTTCATACTGAAATATTACGATAGTACGGTAGCTGAGTAATAGCTAGCTATGTTCCTTAATGTAGAACGATGTTATAAATGTAATTTGGTTATTATTTATACGCTCGGTATCGAACAATTTTAACTAGGGAAAATTTGAGAGAATGCCTGGATAAATAGGAATGTATCGATTTTTGGTTTTTGTATTTTGTAAATAAATTATGAGAGAGGCGGAATTATTAATAAATGATATAAAGTGGGCGTGAGTTTCATTGTTTCCAATGTATTATTATTGTTTCCCCATCTCTGAGTTACCTTGTATATGATTTAAAAAGAAGTGCTATTAACAAATCTTGATAATTACTGTCATTTGACAGCTGTTATTTATAAATAATTATATTCTAAGAGAGAAAATATTCAATAATATCATAGGAACAAATCTCTATAGATTTGAGACTATGATTTTTTTATAAGACTTAGAAGGGAGTACAAGTGTACCAAATGATAAGTGGTAACCATGGCCTATAAACAGAACAATCAGAAAGTACATATTTGAAACAAATATCTTTATAAAGATAATTTGCAGCATTTTATACTGAAGGTAAGGTATTAAAAATAATTAAAGACGGAGCCGTATAAATGGGCATTAATAGGCTTTGGTGTCCCATGGCAGGAAATCTATGACAAGTATTCGTTAACTTGGCATTATATTAGTTACAAAGAACTTATATAATTATTTATTGTAGGAGTAGATACATGATTTATCTTTATGCGAAAAAGTTATAAATTTTTTTTGCTCAAAACGGAAAAAATTCAAAGAATCGAAACGTTTGTTTGTGTTATTTTTGTACTATCATAGAATACGGAAATAGTGTCTTGAATTAAATTACATTTTTCATTACGTTGATAGCACATTTTTTCTCAAAGTTTCCGGTAGATTTTAAAGTACTAGCTGAGCACAACCATATAGGTGTCAGTTAATTAATTATGTGTTGGAAATTCATTTTAAAATTAACACAAAAATACTCCCGCGGTTTTCCGCAAATTACTTCGAATTTGATTGTGGTTACAGGACAGAAATATATGTCATTCCCTTTGACGTTAATAAAGATCATATTTTCAACTGTACTAATAATAATCAAATAAAAAATTGATAGAGAGTCAAATCTTTACATTTTGGCGAAGACAAATAAAGATTAGTGGGTGATCGTAGCGCTAGCTTGAAATGCAGTAAAGTCAGTGAACAAGTCAATTGTCAATATCAATCTTGATGATGATCAATCGATGTAATAAAACCAAATATTTGCTATTTGTATACCCCTATGGGGTGCTGCATGTTATGTACTTACACATATATGTAACACCTTATTTCACTATGTAACAATCAAATAAATATGAATTGATTTGATGATGACAATGATATCATCCGTTAAATGTTCACTGCTAAACTGCTGTCTCCTTTTTGGGGGGTTTTGAAAAATTATCTTAATATATAAAAAAATCTGACCGTGTGAACTTAGCATAGAATAGGCGCTTCCGTTTCCGTGGGTGTCATAAGAGGCGAATTAGCTAGGGCGAGGGATAGTCAGCAGCGTTCATTTATAAATATTTCTTAAGCCTTACTACGGTTGCCAGTCTGCTTGTCAATCGTGGCAACTACTAGCTAGACGCACCAAGAGGGAGGCTTGTGAACAGTGAACAGTTAAAGACTGATATGATAATGATGATAAAAAATTCAATATCACAATGTTGTCACGCTAATTACATGAACCGCTTAGCCAATTTTAATGTAAAGATTGTCTACATTAATATGGCATGCCATTCTTAATTGTAAACAGTTAAAAATGTGTGAGTATATTTATAAAGTTTCGACCAAGCAAAGAATATAGTATTCCTCCGGCCAGGTTGTCGTTGAAGATATTTCCTTACACAAATAATGTACTATGTCTATATATGATCACACATATTGAAGTAAAAAATTGGAAAGATGTACCATGTAAATACAGACATAGTGT